CACACACACACACACACACACACACACACACACACACACACACACACCCCTAGCCATGAGCCCTCCCTTGAGGGAAATGGAAATACCTGTGCACAACATTACCTTTTCCCACCTAGCTTTCCCTGACAAGTCTCAACAGCCTGTCCATACCATGAATAAATAATTTCTCTGAGATGCAACAGCCAGGCAGACTTCTGTATTTAGAGACAACGGGACTTTTCCTGCAGTAACAAATCAAATCTCCAAAACTGATGACCAATGGTTTGCCAGCATGATCACAGAAAAACGAAAAGTAACTCCTTCAGTGTTTGAAAAGCGGAACAAAGGAAATGTGGTTTCAGGTTTCAGTAGACAGCATCACATAAATGAGTCATTGATATCCAATCATAGTGGTTTAATGCACTTGTGTAGGGAAATGCAGGCAGCCCACTACTGTTTTAGTATCTATAGTACCCTACATCACCAATGCAATGCTTTTTAGCAACTGACTCACAAATGTTAGATGTCGGAGAACATGTAAAAACAACAAAGAGCGTTTCAAAAATATTGTTCATTGTTTTTCTGCAGGTGTTTTGAAGTAGAAACTAAATCAAATATTAAATTAAATATTAAAGACAAGATCGTGTCCCGTGTTACACAAAAAGGACCATTGCAAAGTTTGATTCTTTATTCACACAAAGAAGATGAGAAGAAGATAATCTTATGATAAGTTGCGGGATGATTGGGGAGCTGGGTTTGGTGGTATTGTTTTTGGACATCGCAGAGTGCATGAAAAAGTTATAAATTACTTTTTCTGTTTTCAGTCTACCAGGGTACAGATGCCATGGGAGACGTCTCAACTTGTCCTCCACACAGACGTGTGTGCACATGCAGCGACTTGGCATAGGCATTCACACACATACACACAAATGTGAGTTCAGCTTTGTGTGTCATTGTTCGAAGTGTAGTGCAGCATGTATGTTCTGGTACAGATAAAAGATGCTGAATTATGGTTGAACTGGGCTCTGTATCAGGACATAGAGAAGGATGAAGGGATGGAAAGGAAGTACAAAAAGATGGAGAAAGAACAAACACGATCAAAGGCTAAAGATATAATTTGCTTTGTCAATGACCTGGAAAAAATGGTCAAGGTGAGTTAGAAGAGGAAATTAAGAAAGAGAAGAGGAAAAGATTGACTCACTTGAAATGTTCAAAGATTTTAGGAAAGTCTTTAATATTTCCTGACTCTGCACCATAAACTTTGGTAAATTGCCTAACTTTCCATCAATTTTCAATGGAATCTGTTGACAATTTTATGAGGTGTCATATTAACTGTAACAAACAGGCTATGTCTTGTAAAAACAAGCTTTGCAAAGAACCAATATGGATTCTGCCTGTAAGCTTTATGGACTACCAACCTAGTAAAGATGGTGATATGTTCACGTTAACATAATTTGCATGCTGGATTTCTTTCTTATCTGGAGGTCATTTGGGAGTTTTTGTATTAATAAAATGTAATTTAAGCTATACACACATGTATCAGCACCTCATCTATACATTTGATCAAATGTGCTGGAAACATATATAAATCCATCCCAAAATGTTATGATGTGATCATGACTTTACACTGTATAATTCTGTTACTAACTATACAATCGTCCATTTTTATTGCAATCCCACCCATCCACCCATCCATCCATGCCTCTACGCAGTGGTGGACCAGTGGAGGCAGGTCCTGACAGGCTCCTGGAGACAGGGTGATAATTGCCAGACCGTCATCCATATACACAAGCAACAACTTGCCCACCGCAAATTCGCTTAACTCTCCCAATATTGAATATGCTGAAAGACATACACAGGCACACAGAGCTGACGTACATTATGCTTGCTGTACATATCAGCGCAGCCTAAGCTAGATCTCTATGCAGCCTGTAATCATATTGGATTAAAATCAATTTAGAAAATTGAAGATCTCCACCACTTTCCTTGAGGTCATGGTAACTGCTGTTAAAGTTACGGTTTATCTCCATAAGACTTTCAAGGGAAATAAGAAAAGATGGAATGACCTTTACCGACTTTACTTAACAATATATACTATAACTATAACTTGGTTCTCTTTAGTAAAGATCTAACCCTGAAATAATTGGGAATCTTCCTGGAAGGTTTCCCTTTTGTGTTCATATTGACTGCTCATCACCATACTCTGAAGGATGCGTGAACAACACTCGCACAGTCCATGGATATTGCAAAAGTCGACCAGACAGGATGTCAAACACACAGTGTTACACGGAGTGTTGAGGGACACACAGCAGAACAGACCAAATAATTAACATTATTGATGGCATCCCACAGTCCAGAACATATCCATTGACCAATCTTGATACTGGACAACGTACACTGTTGAACAGGAATTAATGTAGTCAAGATATCAATCAGGAAGGCCGCTTTCTTTTTAGCACTTATTCTGCTGGGTGACTATATGAAATCACTTGCATTTGCAGTACAAATTGATCTGAATGACACAAACTTGTATAACTATGAACAACTTAATATATTTACTTATGTGTTGTCATTGATAATATACATTTGAGTACCGTGTGTAAATAATCTTCCTGAGTGTGTTTTCCCAGATCCGATGCTCAGCAGGAAGTCCAATGGTGATGTGGCCGCAGATGATGCATTGGGAAAGAAAGGGAAGGATGCATTTTGCAGGGCGTGTTGGGACCTGTGTCCTAACGGATAGAGGCTATTAGCTGGGAAGAGCAGCTTCTGACAAGCCGCCTTGTAGTGCATGCTTGAGCCCGCACCCACTGCGTCACACCCCCTCCCACTTGTGACACATACTGTACGCACACACACACACACACACACACACACACACACACACACACACACAC